TATTAATTATATTATATTAATTATATTATATTAATTATATTATATTATATTAATTATATTATATTATTATTACATTACATTACATTACATTACATTACATTACATTACATTACATTATATTATATTATATTATATTATTATAATATGGCTGCTCAGATACACCCTCATCCCATATTACTATTGGCATTAGCGATGATTTAATAAAGCAAAAGACAAGCATTGTAAAGTGCATTAGCTGGTTTTGCTAAACAAAACAGAGGTTACAGATCACAGATAATCAGAGCTGGAAGGGACCTTGTAGGTCATCTAGTCCAACCCCCCGCCTAAGCAGGAGATCCTACACCATTTCTGACATATGGCAGTCCAATCTCTTCTTGAAAAGTCTCACGTGATGATGCTCCCACAACTACCGAAGGCAAGCTGTTCCATTGGTTGATTATTCTCACTGTCAGAAAGTTTCTCCTTATTTCCAGGTTAAATCTCTCCTTGTTCAGATTCCATTCATTATTCCTTGTCTGGCCTACAGGTGTTTTAGAAAATAGCTTGACCCCTTCCTCTCTGTGGCAGCTCCTCAAATATTAGAAGACCGCTATCATGTCTCCTCTGGTCCTTCTCTTCATTAGGCTAGCCATGCCCAGTTCCTGTAACCATTCTTCATGTTTTACTATCCAGTCCCCTAATCATCCTGGTTGCTCTTCTCTGCACTTTTTCTAGAGCCTCAACATCTTTTTTATAGTGTGGTGACCAAAACTGGATGCAGTACTCTAGGTGTGGTCTTACTAAGAATTTATAGAGTGGTATTAGTACCTCACTTGATCTCGATTATATTTCTCTGTTAATGCAACTTAGGATTGCACTAGCTTTTTTGGCAGCTGCTGCATACTGCTGGCTCATATTTAGCTGGTTGTCCACTAAGACTCCAAGATCCCTCTCACAGTTACTGCTATTGAGCCTTGTTTCACCCAGTCTATATGTGTACTTTTGGTTTTTCTTGCCTAAGTTTAGGACTTTACTTTTCTCTACATTGAATTTCATTTTGTTAGTTATGGCCCAGTGTTCTAGTCTTTCAAGATCCATCTGGATCTTCAACCTATCTTCTTGTTAGCTATTCCTGCCAGCTTTGTATCATCTGCAAATTTGGTTAAGTTCCCCTTCTATTCCCTCATCTAAGTTGTTAGTGAAGATATTAAAGAGTACTGGGCCTACTGGGCCTAAGACGGAACCTTGTGGAACTCCAGTGCTTACATCCCTCCATGTAGACTTAGACCCATTAAGGACTACTTGTTGAGTACAGTTTGTCAGCCAGTTGCGAATCCATCTGGTGATGATGCTATCTATCCCACTTTTTTCTAGCTTATCAAGACGTAGGTTGTGGTCTACTTTGTCGAATGCCTCTGTCTATTTATAATGTTTAGCATGGCTGCACAAAGAACTCTCTTGATAAAATAAAAGACAAAAAGGGTAAGTATAAAAAATGAAGGAGGGACATAACCAAGGCAGAATACCAGCACATAGCCTAAATTTGCAAAGATGAAGTCAGGAAAGCTAAGGCTCAGAATGATCTAAAACTTGCAACAAATGTCAAAAATAATTTTAAAAGTTTCTTTCAACATATAAAAAACAAGAAAAAAGTCAAAGAAACATTGGTCCACTAATGGGAGAAAATGACAAGGAAGTGACTGTCAGTAGGAGGAAAGCAGAGCTGCTTAATTTACACAAAAAGAAAAAAATAGCCCAGCCTACCAAAAACAGAATAGTAAAAGACAGACAAGGAATTCATATAGAAATAGGCAAGAAAATGGTAAGAAAACACTTGTCCACTCTAGATGAGTTCAAATCCCTGGGACCTAATGGATTAGATCCCAGAGTTCTGAAGGAACTGGCAGGCGTGATCTCAGAACTATCGAACCATATCTTTCAAAGATCCTGGAGCAGCGGGTAATTACCAGAAGATTTGATTCCCATCTTCAAAAAAAAGAAAAAAATAGATCCAGAAAACTACATACCAATCAGCCTGACATCAATACCTGGGAAGATCCTGGAAAAGATAATCAAGCAACCAATCTGCAAACACCTAGAAGCATGCAGTTATAATCAGAAACCAACATGGGTTTATCAAAAACAGATTATGCCAAACAAATCTTATTTCATTCTTTGACAAAGTGACTAAATTAGTGGACCAGTGAAATACTGTGGATATAGTATAAAAAATAAGACTTATCCTGAAATTAAGCCCTAGCATGCTTTATGTGTGCGCCTAATTATAAGTCCTACCCACCAAAATAAGCCCTATTTAAGAGCCTGCACAGTCAGCCACATGTCCATTCTGTCTGGTTGCTCATGGTACTGCAGCCATGAGGTGAGGCAAGGGGTGGAGCTGCCCCATGTGCCCTGCACTGGCTAACCTCAGGGCCCCTGCAGCCAGGCTATCCATGCTCCGACACCTGCCTCACGGCCGCAGCACTAACAGCACTGGCAACCACGTGCAGCAGGAGCCCTCATGGCTGCCAGCCCACTTCTGCTTGCTCGCAGCTGCAACAGAGCAGGAGTGGCATGCTGGAGCCTCTGCCACGAGGCGAGGCAGGTGTTGGGGCATGGGTAGCCTGGCTGCGGGGTCCCTGAGGTTATCTGGTATGGGGCATGTAGGACAGCTCCACCCGTCCTGCCTCATGGCGGATCTGATGCGCCACACGGCCTCCTGCCCTGCCATGACCAAATAGAAATGGGCCTCCTGTACTTGGGGGAAAAAATAAAACACCCCCCAAAGTAAGTCCTAGTGCTTATTTTGAAGCCTAAAAGAAAATGAGACCCAGGTTTATTTTTGGGGAAACACAGGTACTTTGATTTCAGGAAGGCATTCGAAAAAGTAGATCACAACCTACATCTTGGTAAGCTAGAAAATTGTGGGATAGATAGCGTCATCACCAGATGGATTTGTACTGACAAACCACACTCAATGTTTACTCCTCAATGGAACTGCATCTATATGGAAGGAAGGAAGCAGAGGGTTAACACAAGGTTCTGTTTTAGGCCCAGTACTCTTCAATATCTTCATATACAATTTAGATGAGGGGCTAGAAGGGGAACTCATCAAATTTTCAGACGACACCAAGCTGACATGAATACTCAACACCCCAGAAGATAGGCCCAAGAGCCAAATGGATTCCCACAGATTTGAACACTGGGCTCTATCTAACAAAATGAAATTCAATGTAGACAAAAGGAAGCTTTTTACCCTTAGGCAAGAGAAACCAAATGTACAGATACAGATTAGATGAAATTTGGCTCAATAGCAGTAACTGCATGAGGGATTGGAGTCCTAGTGATAATCACTTAATTTGACTCCTTAAAACGCCTGTTCTATAAAAAAGACCCTAGACCTATTCACTTTTGGACCATAATTATCATCATGTTTTGCAAAGCCTGCTATGGTTTTTCAGGTAGTCAGAACTCTTCTATAGACTAAGACTGAATCAAAGAAATCAGGATTTTGAAATTGTAGGCTGTATTAGATTATTTCACATGAGCCACAAATTTACTAAATTTGAATTTACTAAACACTATCAGAAAGCAGAAATGAAAAATAAAAAATTCTATTTTAATCTAGGAAGTGGTTTGGTAGTATGTATACTATTAATTTAACAGTATTACTGTATTAAATTACCAGTGTTTGTAATGTAAGTAGGCCAAGAATTTGATTTCTCTGGACTATACAGAAATTGATTATTGAAAAAAATGAACAATGTCAGCCTATAACAATTCTTCAATTGAATAAACTGAACAACTTTAAATATATGGAGAAAATTAGAAACAACAATTGCATGCACTTCACTAATTTTTATTAAAATGTCAGCCTGTACAAATCAAACTATATTCACAATAATATATATGAAAATCTTACCCATCTCTTCCTTTACTGACAATTTTTACTTCAAAATAATATATTCCACAAGCAGCAGGTATGGGGTGAGTGGCACGAACAGAAGCAGCATCTTTTGGAGTTTTCCCATGGCCTGTGAAAAATATATTAAATTATATTCTAGAAATTGAAGACAATGTATTCATTAATTAAACAGCTACAAAATCAAGTATATGTGAGAGGCTAAACATGTTGGAACCCTAGAAACATGCATTCAGTTTAGTAGTGGCCTGTCTTCTACAATGAGGTCCCGCTGAGATTGGGATGGTACCCCAATTTACTGATGTTTTGAAAGCTCTTGTAGACATGTGTCTATATCCAGGCTTTGGCAAGGTCCCCCCTAGGATTCTATAAGTTTATTTTCTCTTTTGTTTCGGATCGATTTCTCTCATCCACCTTTTTCTTTCTTTCTGTTTTCGCCTACTGCATTTTTTTCTTGTTTTTAATACTTTTTCTTGTGAATTGCCCTGATTAGTTGGAAGTTGACTGCTATACAAATTTAATAAACCATCATTTTCATCATCACTTTGATCAAAAAACAAGGAAAGATCCGTCTGTAAAACTGTATTAAAACAATGGTTAATTTACAACCTTCCCTTGTACCTGAAGAAATTTACAAAGAGTTTAACATTAGTTACTTTAAAGCGAAGACTGGGTATTTTACTACTTTTATGTAATTAAATATTATTTTTTGTTTTATTCTCCAAAAAGACATCTGCTCTTAGTATTTACTAAAAAAAATCATCTCTCAAATCAATAAATAAGATTAATCATGGTTAAATAGTTTTACAGATATAAGATTATTTAGATACCCGCATAAGATTTAAAATGTGTGATTACATTTTAAACGATTCTACGTATGTGTTAAAAATACAATGGTACCTTGGTACTCATTGTTAATTGGTAGTGGGAGGCACAATGAGTACCAAAAACGATAAATACCAATTTCCCCATAAGGAATAATTAGTCAAAAGGCAGCCGACATTGACAAGTTCTAGCTTGTGTGTTGAGTACCATGAGTACCAGGACAAAATGTTTATGTCAAAATGTGTTGAGTACCAAATTCGATGAATTTCAAAGCAATTTAGAGTAACACTGTACATATATTTCCATATGTATCTCCTCTTGAATTGCCTGATTGGTGCTTTTTGAAGTATTTATTAGGCCTTACATAAGGTCCTTATAAAGAGATTGCTAGTCTTTTAATTGCTCAGAAAGTTGAGTAAAAGGCTGGGGAGAATGAGCTGATTTCTACCCACTAATTGTATGTTGTTGACACCATTGTATGCATTGCAGGTTTTCCAATGCTTCTGCCAATAAAAGGTTCATGAAGCTGTACTTTTATGATGCTGATGGTGGGGGAATGCAGCACTATATTGCTAAAGCATTCTGGCACCATGGCTACTTCTGGATATCTGCATGCCAGCACTGATAGTCCCTTGCAGCACTCAGGATGAACATGTTGCTTGTTATGGATTGTCCCTCCTGCTTGTTATAGACTGTCCCTCCCTATGTTCTTCTTCTATTAATGTAACTTATCAGGATTAATTTTAGATACAGGTTAAGTTTCTTTCCATAAAAGTACTAGATCTGTATTCAGAAATAATCTGTCTAATAGGATCCAGTGCCACGGCACCTTAGACCTGTGTTAATTGCATAATCGGACAAAAAGCTAAACTTGCCTAAACTTGCTCAATCTAATTCAAATCATTTTCTCCAAATCAGGGAAAGTGAATGATATTTTTCCCCATTGGCAGATAACATTAAGTGGAAGGAGAAAGTAATCCATGGGAATCCACCAATCATTTTCCTTATTTTGTCCTGCATTTAAACAATAGGTATAGAACCAACTATCAAAATAGGGCTTAGCAATTGAAATACAAATTTTATACCACATTATTTTATGCTGGCATAGGTTCTATATGTCCTATGGTAAATTATAAATGTACATTATTTTTTTCAGAGTAGAATAATGGTTTTAAAAGTTAAAACAAAACAAAAGTTAACACAGATTTAAACTTTTATACAAACAATCATATCTGCTGCTAGAAAACCAAAATATAGCACACAGCCCACTAAAATATAGGGTTGAAAGAGCAATACTCAGTTTGAGTGGTATTTATGCAATAGAAGGAACAGGGGAAAAATGACACTGCTATCCATTCAAACCCATATGCAGTTTGGGTTAAGCAATAACAAATACGTTTAATTTGTATTTAAGCTATAAAAAGATGTTTAGCAACATGGCTATAATATTAGTTCAATATAAGTTAATGTTCAGCTGGGATGATTTTAATCAGGAGCAGTTGCATTTCAGCTATCTGAAAATTAGTACAGACATTTATAGAAAACAGTTTATGTGGTTTCCACATAATCTTATTGCTGTAGAATCACTATTTGAATAATCTACTTATAATTTAGTGGAACATTTATTATAGTTTTAAAATGCTACATTTATGTAACTAATAACAAAACAGTTAAATTTATTATTGAACTTATTCAAAATAATATTATATATCAAAATACAATGCTTTCCTCTTCTGAATAAGTTCATTTTCTAGTTTTAGTTATTACACAAGATTTTTAGATATTTTTTTCCGCTATCTTTTAATATATGGTGTTTGAAACTACTAAATAATATAACTTATACAGCAAAACAACTGTGTGCATGAAGAACTATTTTTTATATTTGAGAATTTTATCTAAGACTGGAAAAGATGCACTCGCCAATTGTCTCTTTAGGATTTATACCTGTTTGAACTGAATTGATTTACATTTTATCTCTCTAAATAAACTTTTTCTAAGAAAAAATTCAAAAGGTATAGTCAAATCTTCAATATTCTTATATATATCCTCAAATAATTAAATCTGTTTGAATTACAGTAATTATTATGAATAATGAATTATGTAGTTTTCTATTTCTCTATAGGTGAAATCAGCTCAATCCAAATTTTCTGAGCTGAAACTATTTTTGAACATTACAGAAAAAGAAAGAAACCACTATTATACTTTTATACTAAGCCAACTACCTACTATACTACTTAATAAAATATCACACAAAAAGTATAATACAAAATAAAATAATGAATATGGGATAGTTGCAAATTATTCTTAAAAGTATATTTCCTGATTAACAATGCAAATCATAAGGAGCATATTAACTCAAAGCTCAAATCCGTAGGAAGTTAAGCACTTTTCAGACTTAACAGTACATAAATCATGGTTAGCCCAACAAGTTTAGCCTCTACCTTCCCCCTTGCTATCAACTCAAAACCATCCATTTCTATTTTAGTTTAACTTCAGTTTAGCATCTCTCCCAAATCCTATAGTATGATTATGGTTAGTGAGCATAGATTCATAACACTCTCAAATTCTGAATATTTCTAATCATAACTAACATAAATAAAAGTTGATCTGGCCTTTGATGATATGAAAAGTGGCAATTAATAAAAATGGAAGCAATTACTTATAGTCTTTTTCACAGGGATAAGAAGTATGTAACTCAAGGACAGAACATCTTTCTCATTTAGGTTAGTGATAGTTTAGTACTTTACCTTTATCTCTGAATCATTAAATTATTATGTATTTCAAATAAAACACTACAGTACTATCATACAACATACAAAAGACTCATCCAAAGAAAAACTTGGCTTGGAAAACTCCAAACTTAAAAATATTATTTCACCATGTAGGAATTCAGCATCAAAACAAGGAAACTTCTTCCAGTGCTTAAAGGGACTGTCAGCATATCAGGACACTGTACCTCTTTTTGTGAAAGATGCATGCTGATATCTAAATATTGAGGATTTCATATTTGCTGTAAATCAGAAGCTATATATAATAGATTCTTATTTGTTTTCATTTTCCTGCATTCTAGGTGAAGTGCTCCTGTTTGTTTGTATGTATGTATATATCCTCAGCCATAACATACATACATATACATACACATACACATACATACATACATATAACACACACACACTTACATATTTTTTTCCAAAGCCTGTGCTTTGTAAGTTTAAAAGTTAAATTTAGAACAATAGATGAATCTTTTTCTACAGTAACCAGTTGTCTCCTTTTTTCTCTTGCTTCATTTAAGTCTATCTTGCTTCCGATTCCATTTTAGATGAATGAGTACATGTGTACACATATAAATCTAAAATGCAGAAGGAAACATAAACTGTCCCAAATGATTTCAGCACAACAGAAAATACAACTTCTTTTGTACATCAGATTTTGCCTCTTAACTTCCTGAGAAGTTCATCAGAAGAAGGAAGATAAACAGATAACAGAAACCAAATCTGAAGGAATTAATTTTTCATCAGCCAATATTGCAGCTAATGTTCACAATGATGCAGGATGAATTTACAAAACAAAGGCTTTCTTTCTTCATTTTTACCCGTTTGAAAGATTTTACATTTATTCTTCCAACTTTTGCTGACCTTTACTCTCTTGCTAAACAAACACATTTCTTGCCCAAACCGGTTATTTTTAATTGGACACGTCACACTGACTGACTTGCTTTCTCCTCCCCTGACCCCAAGTTGTTATTCAACAAGAGAAATATTCACTTCTGAAGAAAATCACACTTTATACACTCCTTCTCCCCACATCACCCACAACCAGAAAATAAAGGCTCATCCAAACCTCCCAATATTTGGAAGATGAAAAAAAAAAATGAAGCTGAGAGGGAGTCTACTTGGCTTCCTAACTTTTTTTCTCAAGAGGACCCAATGAGATTTGTTTCCTGTTGTTCTATTTTTTAACATTTCTCCTCCTTCCCCCCACCCCCCAATCGATTGCTTCTAAAACGTTTCCTCCTGGGTTAAAAGAAAAGAAAACCAGGGATGTTTTTTTTTTTAAGAGATGAAGTATCAGGTTTAAAAAACAGCTAATCCCAGGCCTAGTTCCCTTAAAATAACAGGCCCGATTGCTCTTAATCCGGCTGAGGGGAACGAAGTTACCGAAGGTGAAGGTAGATGGGGCAGAAAGGAAATCGAGAGAGAGAGCAGAACAAAAACAAAGCAAAGCAAAACAAAAGGCGTCAAAAACAGGGTTGGATTGTTAGAAGGGAGAAAGAATAATATGCCATTCGGCTTTTTGGGAAGTGGGCAGCGGGAGAGACTGTGGTGGCGTCAGTATTGTCTGCTGAAGGTGGAAACAAAAAATGATGCACGAAGAAGCGGGGTGTCGTCCATCGGCAGCGGCGGGTGCCAAGGGGGGCTGGGAGGGGGGGCCTTCCCTGGCCGAACCGGGATGGGTGTTTTAGGGGTCGACCTGGAAATACTCGGGTTGGGGTTTCGCTCTCTAGACAGTGGAAGAAGTCGACAACCTCCGGCCTCTGCCATTCTGTCGACCATCCTGTCACACAACCTGCTGGGTTGCCTGCCTGGGTGTCTCTTTGCCGGAGGGAAGGCCGGAGAGCAAAGCGGGCTGGCCTCGGCCTTGTCCGTCGCCCCCTCACCTTTCTCCCCCCCCCGCCCCTCACCTTTGTAGTGGACGCGCAGGTTGTTCTGAGAGAGGCCGATGTAGCTGAATTTGTCTTTCGGGCTCCAAGAGCGAGGGAGCGGCGTTTCCTGCTCGTCCACGGCCGGGTAGAGCCGCTTAAGGCGCCGTTTGAGCTCTTTCTCTTGCTCGTTGAGGGCTGGATCGCCGCAGTGAGGGAAAGGAGCCGGGGCGCTACTGCCGCTCCCGGCAGACATGGGCCCAGCCGAGGAGACAGCCGAGACTGTTGTTGCCGCTGCCGTCGTCGTCGTCGTCGCCGCCGGGGCCGCCACTACGGCGGGCGGAGGAGGAGGCGGCGGCGGGGCCGAAGTGGCCGGCGGTGGCGGCGGTGGCGGCGGAGGGTGAAGGAGGAGCGCGGCCGAGGCCGGCGAGGGAGTCGGGTTGCTCGGCGCCAGAGGAGCCGTCGCCGGCAGTTGTTGCTGCTGCTGCTGCCCGGACATGCCGGCCTTGGTCTCTCTGTCTCTTTCTCTCTCGAAGGAAGCGGAGGTCTCTCAGAATGCAAACAGCCTCTCACACCGGAGTGACAGTCCGAGATGCGGAGACCACGGGAGCCACACAACCGGAGGGGAGGGGGGGAGAGGCGGCGGCGGCGGAGGCGACTCGGCTGTGGAAGCTCGCGCGACTACGAGAAAGCGATTGGAAACGACGAAGGTGATGACGAGCGGGGGTGCGCGCGGAGGTGTGTGTGTGTGTGTAAGGCCGTAAATGTTGTGCGTGAAGGCGCGCGCGAGGAGGCGGCCGAGTCGCCCGGCCTAGAGTTCGGGAGCCTGCGCGCGCGCGCGTGTGCGTGTGACGCCAAAGGGAGAGGGAGAGCTCTGGCTTTTTGTCGCTTACTGCGCCGCGAGCCTTTCGGGCGGCGGCTGCTGCTGAAGCTGCCCGCCTCGCCGAGGCTTCCCTAAACTCCGCGGTGGCAGCAGTTGCCGCCGCCGCTTGCGAACGTGCTCCTCAATCAGCTGAGCGGCGTGGCAGAGCCGAGGGGAGGTGCTTGCCTGCCAGTGACACGGAGTGCGTGAGGGGACGACGGCGAGGGTCCGCGCCGGTTACCCCGCTTGCGAAAGGGGAGGGAGAAAGGAACGGGAGTGGAAGTGGGCTGTCGGGCCTGGAGCTGCAGATGGGCCAGGCGGCAACCAGCAGAGCTTGGCCGGCTTCCTCGCCCCGCGGTGTCGCAAAACAGGAAAGGATGAGGGGCTGCGACTTAACTCACTCTCTCTCACACACACAAACTCACTCTCTCACACACACACAGTCTGTCTCACTTTCTCATTCTCTCTCTCTCCCACACACAGTCACTCTCTCCTTTCTCAACCATAACAGGAATGAATGAGGGATTTCCATCTCTCCTTGCTGCCGTTTAGCGACCATCTGGAGTTTTGCAGGCCAAATCCGGTAGCCCCTCCAGGCATGCCAAGACATTTTTAATTTTCTGCCTAGGGGTAGTGGCAATCAATTGTTGGATTTTTGTGGAAATGCCATTGGAATAAGTAGGGGTTACTTTGAGTAAAATTAAATATGTTGATCGGTGCCACTGCCAAATAGAAATCAGTTCATCTTAGCCTGCTGAGTTCAGTAAGTCTATTCCCAAATGGCTAGGATAGTAGTGAGCATGCATGGAATTAAAAACAAAGGAAAAAAATGCTGGTCCTGACTGCAGGCCTTTCTAGTATAAATTTTCACAGTAGCTGACTAGGTGACTTTGGGAAAGACCAGAAAGAATTGGAGCTGGCACTTGGCCACTGAATCCACCCCTCTGTTTTGTGAAGGAAACCAAGCTAAAACATTCCCAAGCTTTCCAGCTTCTGCCAGAAAACATTTAATGAAGAAAAGTCTCAATAATTGATTCATATCACATTTATCTTACTGTTAAGTAAAATTAAATATAATATAAATTCATATCCATTTACATTGACAAATTGTACAAGGTATTTTTATGAGAAAAAGTACATGTACCTTAAAGCTGTCTTAAAATAATTACAGCAACAACATAAAAAGAATCTTATCACATACATTTATTTAATGAAAGATGGTACTTGGTTAATAATTCAGGAAAGTCAGATAACTAGTATTTTTAACACAATAGGTTATAAACAAAATGCAAAGGCACATGATATTGGATAATCTGGATTTAAATCTAACTGGATATGTGAAAGTCCTTTATATCATTATGTTGAATTTGGCAGAATAAAAACCTAATACATAAGCCTTAAAATGATAGTGATATCCTCAAACATTTGCATTTAATTATTCATAAAACAGAGACAAGAAAATGGAGTCATATCAGCACCTGTTTTTGTCAATTAGCTAATATTTTACCATACAGGTAGTCCTCAACTTAGTTGGCTTAGTGATCATTCAAAGTTACAATGTGACGGCCATCTTTCTCAGTTACGACCTCTGCAGCATCACATGATCAAAATTCAGATGCTTGGCAACTGGTACATATTTATGACCATTGCTGTGCCCAAGATCATGTGATCACCTTTTGTGACCTGACAAGCAAAGTCTGGGGAAGTCAGATTCTCTTAACTGGGTTACTAATTTATCAACTGCAGTGATTCACTTAACTGTGGCAAGAAAAATCGTAAAATGAGGCAAAACTCACTTAACAAATGTCTCACTTAAGAGAAATGTTGGGCTCAAGTGTGGTCCTAAATAGAGGACTACATGTATTTTGATAATAAAGAATATTGCCTATGGTTTAGGGATGCATCATATGCAAATATATCTGAGCCCCAGAAGGCTGACTTTCATGTGAATAATTTCTGATAGTATTTCAGCAAATCAGTATTCTTGACTACCATCTGTATCTCAGGTCTCAGTCTGTTTTAAAATAATGACCGTTCTCTGCAAGAGCAGTTTCTGTTCTAGCTGTTGCTTAGTCCACATTAAATTAGTTGGTTTAATCTCATTAGCAAAAGATTTTCAGGACTATTATTGAGATAATTTATTTAAAGTTTGGGAGGAATGCGATTTAGTTAATTATCTAGAGTTTAGTACAAAGCACTAATCTTTTTGGTGGCTTTTTTTATAAATGCAATAGATAGGTGGGTTCTATAAAAACAAATGCAATCCCTTATTTAAAAGTAATAGAGAAAAGTGTTCTCCAGGTACTGCAAAATGATCCTGCTTTCTGCACTTAAAAAATATAATCTACTTACAGTACTTAAATTCTTGTTTTTTATTACATGAAATGAAGAAAAAGTTTTCACCCATGCAGACATACTGATTTTTAAATCATAGTCAATCTCACAGTTGCTGTATATTATAGAATTATTACTTTGTGGAATTTTGTCCTATATTAGTAAACTCTTGCATAGACACCTGACTTTCTGAAAAGCCCTTTGTAGCTGCTAAATTCTTATCTGAAGACTGGAATACCTTTAAGATATGAATATTTTTCTGTAGAATATAAAAATTACCATATTTTTAATGTTGATTTTCCAGTTGCATGGCAAATATAGATGTCTAATATCTTGTTATTTTATACTGATTTGAAAATTTACAGAATTGTGGAATGTCTAAGACATCTAAGTTTAAATACTTTTTTTAACCAATAACTGTATGTGGCTTTGAATGGCATGCAAACAGTAAGGTTTGTTTTAAATTAAATTTAAATACAATTCTGACATTTTAATAATTTCCCACTTCTATAAGATTAAAATTTATAATATGGCAGCAAGCTTTGAAGACTGTGTGTTGTACATCCCTATTTAAGAATTAAAAATAGTTTATAAACACAATTTACCTTATCAGTAGCGGATTCTGCTGCCAGGAGCAATAAACTGCGTGGGACTGTGTAGATGAAGAATTCTAAATAGATTTTTTTGGCATCATGAGAATGTTTTTTAACAATACATGTTGTGTAATGCTTGATTTTAATCTTAATTTAACATGACTGGATTTGTGTTCAGGACCTAAAAAGTTATAAATGTTGTCTGCTTGTAGAAATGAGCTTTACCTATTAAAAATCCATAGAATAGGCAAGTCATCTAAAAATAGACTCCAAGAGAATACTACACTTTAAATGTAACATTCTCATTCTATATTTTTATCTTTGATGTTTATAATTTAAATAGTTTTCTAGCATTTCTAATCTTGATGGCCACCCAGATATATAGAATATGAATGGAATGGCAAAAGAAAATAATGAAAATAAACAATGTTGTTGCCTTATGTCAGGGGTGTCAAACATGGGCCGGATGCATCATGTGCTGGCCCCACCCCTGCCTGGTTTAGCGAAGGGGAAGAAAGTCCCGATACATTACATGACAATGGGAGTTTGACACCCCTGCCTTATGTTCTATAAAGTTGGCATTGTATTTGTACAGTGAAAGGATAATAATAGGTTCTGTGTGTTAGCCTACATCACTCTACTAAGGCAGATCCTCCATTATTTTTTCCAGTATAGTGCTATCCAAAAATGTTCAGCAGAAGGTGAAAGGAACTGGAGTTTTCAGTACATTTGGAGCTTGACTACCTTGTGAATAGACTTGGACCTCACAGTTACAAGTTGAAGCTTGTAATTATTTGTGCTACATCACCATGCTCCAATTTGATGACAGGCTATTTGAAGGCTTTCACAATTTAGTCCTGGACAGTAGAAATTACATGGGAAAACTAGAAAACTATTATCTTCAGTTTATAATTCTTTCTCAGATCATAATGGAGAGACTGTCTTGCTTATCATACTAAACCATGGATTATTTAATCACAGCATACAAAAGAAATCAAAGTCGAGTACTATCATAAATTGTGGTTATAATCCAAATGGCTGGATTCAAACATGTTGAAATTCATGAGCTCAATATTGCAGCATTTTCTTTTACTACTATAAACAGGAAAACTCTTTATCTTTAACAATAGACATGTTTACTGAATTAATGAGGCTTATTTATGTTACTCAAATCCAAGACACTGAACATCTTATATTTCCTTATTACAAAAAAGTTGCAGTTATAATTACAAAAAGTTTGACACACACAAGCAGCAAACAGATTAGAAACTCGGGATGGGGGATTATAGTTCCTAAAAGTTCCACCCAAAAGATTGTCTTGAAAAGCCAGGTTATAGTGGTGTTCCTAAAATATAACATGGTGGGTGCTAATTTGATTTTGGGAAAGGGACTGCCATTGAAAAGACTTAACTCTGGGGTTTTGACGTTCCTTAAAGAAGAGACCTGTAGAGAGTCTCCCCTATCTAATACTGTGTTTCTCATATAATAAGGCCGGGTCTTATTTTTTTTTGGAGCCCCGAAAAAACGGCTAGGCCGTCTTTTCGGGGGTGACTTAATTCCCCCCCCTTGCATCCTCGGGCAGGCGGGCGGCGACGGCTTGGATGTTGACCTCGGCATTGGTGGGGCACTTTGTATCGGGAGACCTTCCGTGACCGTTGCTTTCCCTTCTCCCCGTGCTGCTGCAGCATTTAGAGCAACGCTGTGGTATTTGGCGCAGCCACGCAGCATTTGGCGCAGCCATGCAGGGCCGGCCAGGGGTCCTTCCTGCAAATGGAGCCCAGCGGAGACACTCGGCTTCAGGCACTCCTGTTGCCGCCTTCCCGGGCTTCGTTCGAAGGCAAAGCCCATTCTTTTAAAAACGACACCCTACTACCGGTACGACAAAGCCTGCCCTACCCAAAGGGCAGCCCAACCTCACATGGGGAGGCAAATCTCCCGGGGCCACAGCGCAGGTTCAGCCCACCCTGGGAGAAGCGCCCAGCCGCCATCCCTGCCTGGCGCCGGGCAGAGTGCGAAGAGCTTCGCCTGGGGCACCCAGTGCAGCTGACAGGCGGGCCCTCCTGCCCAGCGGCGGAGCTCTGGCCAAAGCAGCGAGCGCCTCCCAGCCGGACCCTCCACTCATCCCGCCAGGGCCGCGCCGGAGCCGGGTGGGGTTG